ACCCTAAACCCTAAACCCTACATGTGTCCGGGGGGTCAAGCTGTTAGGACCCAGCAGCCGGTCTGAAGAGCTGGGACGCCGAGGCCACGAAATCACCCGCTCCGCCCCACAAACACACTGAAATGGGTTTAGGGTTTAGGGTGAAATGCGAGGCCCCAGTGGACCCCCCGAACCAAAGAACAACAAGAAGCCCCACGTGCGTGTACACACACACAGAGCTAGAGTAATATAGGGGCCTAAATAGTTACCTATATTATTTTGGGGGTTCCGCATCATAGTTATAGTAGAATGGGCCCCAGAACCCGAGTCTGATTATTCAGGCCCTTATAGTACCCCATCAGAGAAGAGCCATGCCCAAGGGAGCCCAAACTCGGTGGCCGCCCCTGTGGGGGCCGCTTGGATGAGACCCGCGGCTGCTTGGTGCAGGACGGCGGCCGAGGTTTAGGGTTCCTTTAAAGGGATCTATAGGGATCTAGGGATTCTATACGGGATCTATGAGGGTTTAGGGAGTTTAGTGTTTTGAGGTTGGTAAGGTTTAGAGGTTGAGGTTTAAGGTTGTTTGGGTATGGGGTTCAAGGTGTTCAAGGCCAAAGGTTTTTAGGTTGCGAAAGTCAAAACTTCGGCTAGGTTTTCAGACTTCGTCTTTAGGAGCATAATGGTTGTCAGGTCTTGAAATTCACGCTGAAGAGTTTAGGGTAATGTAGGGGCCGAAAAAATACCAATACTATGTTGGGTGGTTCCGTATTGTATATATATATATATAGTACAATGTAGTATAATACACCCCAAGGCCCTATTCTGATTATGGAGGCCCCTACATGGGAGTTTGATCATCCAAGATTGAAGGTCTGCCGACCCTAAACCCTAAAACCTAAACCCTAAGCAACAATAGACTCTAAACCCTAAACCCTAAACAAACCCTGAACCCTAAATAAGCCCTAAATTACTAAACGAAGGTTTTCAGGTGTAGCTTAAAAGGTTTCGGGGCTTTAGAAGTTCAGGGTTAAGGTCTTGAAAAGGTTGAGGAGGGTGGGGTCGAGGTTGAGGTTTTAGGATTGAAGGTTTAGCTATCCAGTTTCCATTTTTTGGAGGGTTTACGGTTTCAGGTTTGCGGTCTAGGCTTTGAGCTTGTGGTGCAAGCTGCCGGGTTTAGCGCTGGTGATGCCGCGTCTTTGGTGGGTTTGGGGGCTTCGTAAACGCTAACCCCTAAACCCTAAGCCCTAAACCCTAAACCCGAAACCCTAAACCCCGAACCCTAAGCCCTAAACCCTAGCCCCTAAACCCTAAACCCTAAACCCCTAAACGCTAAATCCTAAGCCCGATATCCCTTATAGATCCCTTTAAAGGAGCCCTAAACCCTAAGCCCGAAACCCGTGTCAAGGGTTCTCCCGGCCTGCTGAAGGACTGCCCGCACTCGGAGCTGAGAGACTGTAGGCCGGTCAGTGCCAGGGTTTAGGGTTTAGGGTTTAAGGTTTTAGGGTTTAGGGTTTAGGGTTCAGGGTTTAGGGTTTAGGGTTTAGGGTTTAGGGTTTAGGGCCCGGCAGTGTTGCGTTTTTTGAGGGTTTCGGGTTTAGGAAAGTTTAGGACTGCGCATTTGGGTGTGAGGGTTTCGGGGGTTTCCAGGATTTGTTTGGTTTGCCGGGCCAGGGTTGTGGAGTTCGGGGTGAGGAGCTTGGGGTTTCAGGGGTCGGGCCTTCCTTGTCGAGAGTGCCGTCCGAGCTTCCGAGCAGGTGGGACGACTGGCAAAGCTGGCGAGTTTGACCTGCTGGTGATGCTGTGTCCGAATGCGTTCATGTTGGCAAGGTAGTGACCCTGCTGGTGTTCACCGCTTATAGTTTGTCGTCGCCGGGCACGGGGGTTGGGTGGGTTCGTGCTGCGGCATGCAGTTGTTTCAGATGGGGCTCAGTTCATTCTCAGACTGCTGTTGACGATATGGGCATTCGCATCACGCTGCCAGCACAATCACCACAACAGCTCCATCACCACCATCAGTTTCTTTTTCATGATGGTGGTGATAATGATCGTCACCATCATCGTCCTCATAGTATTCGTCGTCGCCATCATCTTCATTGCTCGTTTTGCGTTTTCTGTTTCCATCTTGGACGCCGCTGCCAATCCTCCCGACCGATGCTTTGCCACTTTGCGAGTTCGCCGTCGATTTGTCTTGCAACTACTGTCACTGCTACTGTCAGTGCCATTCAGCGTCCCATCGCCACCCTTGTTGCTATTAACTTGTACCATGCCCAACAAAGACCCCGACGAAACCCTAACAAGAACTGGAAACCATAAAACTTAGACCCTTAGCCCTAAGGTCCAACAGCCGTCTGAGCCCCCCTTCACCCTAAGCACCTAAGAGACTTGAACCCTAAGGCCCCCGAAGCCCTAAACCTCAACCCCAAAAGCCTTAGCCCACCCAAACACCCACCCCTTTTCAACAAGCAGCATGTCATCCGAAATCCTAATAGCCCTCAACTCCCTAAACCCCTAACCTAAACTCCCAAAGCCCGAACCCTCCTAAACTAAACGCCCTAAGCCCTAAACCTCAGCCCTAGACCTCTAAATGCCAGGACCCATTGGAGCGCCTGCAGCGTGACCTGAGCCTCTGACCGGTTTCGACCAGTGCTCAATTCAGGGTTACCTGGGCTTGTGAGCACATCACAACTTAAAGTCTTAAAGGATAAAATCAGAATGCAGTGCGTGACCATATGCAAGACGTGGGTATGCCAAGACTATGAGGAAGTTTGAAAGTCACTGGTCTGCAAGACAGTTTTGATCAATACACGACACTGACAGTGACACACAGCCAGCCAGCCAGGCAGAAAGGCAGGCAGGCAGGCAGATACACAGACACGGACAGACAGACACACAGACAGACAGGCACACAGGCACACACAGACACACAGGCACACACGGACGCACAGACACAGACAGAGAGCGAGAGAGAGCGAGACAGAGAGACAGAGAGCCAGACAGCCAAGCAGGCGCAGGCAGAAAGGCAGACAGGCAGCCAGGCAGACAGGCAGACAGGACAGGCAGACAGAGACAGACAGACAGCGAGACAGAGAGACGGAGAGACAGAGAGATCGAAAGAGACGGAGAGACAGAGAGACAGCCAGCCAGCCAGCCA